CATAGGAATGGACATAGATAACTTTTGCTCCATCTTGTGCTGCTGGAACAACTGCCCTTAATTCTCCTACTTGTGCGCTACCTTCCACTTCTTCTAGCACTTGTTTGTCAGTCTTAATTTCTAATGCGGCCGCTTTGTATTGCTGCCATTTACCCTTTTTGCTGAGGCGTCGGGAAACCAAATGCCCTCAGTCGGTGTTTCTTCAGTGAAGGGAGGTGCATCTAGGATCGGTGAAGGTTTCAATGGCTGGTTTAGTGCTAATGGCTCTGCGTTGATAGGCCTCTGAAAGTTGGAAATTTTTGTGTGTCCTTCCGTCAGCTGCATTTCGTCTGCTGCTCCCACCAGATCGGCCTACCGTTTCTTGATGGTGGGCTTCTGTGCAATTCCTTCAGGAGGAGAGGTTCCTTTTAGGACTGTTTCTAATAAATTAAATGGACCTCTGGTTTGCACAGGCCGTCCCTTGGTGTATTTTCTCAACTTATTTAACTGCGCAGACTAAAGACAAAAGTCCCTTTTCTCATTCAGAGTATCTCTGTTCTGTCCCTTTAAATGCCATTGAACTGAATAATAGCGGTCTCTTTGGTCCATCAGGGCCAGTTTGAAATAAATGACAATAAGTACCATGTTCTGCAAAACCCCTATAAGAGGATCGCGGGGGTGTAGTCGTCCCAGTGACTGATGTGTTTTTAATTCTGGTGTCAGTCTTGACCGCCTCCTCGTGCTCTGAATTCCATTTCCATGGTTTTCCCTTTTGTAAAAGTGAATACAGTGGACGAGCAATGAGAAAATCCAGGTACGTGTTTTCTCCAGTACCCTAAAGTACCCATAGGCTGTTGTAATTCTTTCCTAGACCGGGGCATTTGTAATTCTATTTTATTTAGGGTGTCTGGTGGAATTGCTGCACTACCTGCAATCCACCGAGTACCTAAAAATTTTACGTCTTTGCCTGGTCCTTGACATTTTTCAGGTGGAATTTGAACTTCTGCTCTGCGTAATGCTTGCACACTGCTGCTGCCAATTCCCCCTGCTTTTCAGGAGAGGTCCCTTTAGGATATCGTCTATATATTGATACCGTTTTACATCTTGAGGGAGTGAGATTGTGAATGTTAGGCAAGCGCAGCATGAGCAATTGTAGGTGAATGCTTCTATCCCCGTGGGAGTCCATTGAAGGTTTATTGTACACCTTCCCAAGCGAAAGCAAATTTTTCTTTATCTTTTTCCTGTAAGGGGACCATAAAAACCTTATCTTTTATAGCTAATGTTGCCATCCACGGGTGTGCAGCTGCTTGTAGCGTGGCAGTTAAAGTTGCAATATTGGGTACCGCAGCCGTTAGTGGGGCTGTGTTGGCGTTTAAATGCCGATAATCGATCGTTAATCGCCATCTCCCGTCTGGTTTTCTAACTGGCCAAACCAGTGAATTATATGGGGAGCGGGTTCTGGAAATGATCTGTCATTTTTCCAAATCAGCTCTTACTTCAGAAATTCCAGCTCGTGCTGCAGCAAAAATTGGATCCTGGGGGACATTAGTAATCTTGGAATCAGGGAGTGCCGGAGCTGCGCGGAGCAAACGCACTGTGGCTTCTCAAGGTTTGTTTGGGTGAGGCTTGACATTTGAACCCAGGACCGCACGCTGCCGTTCGGCAAGAGCCAGGTTCGTCCATTTAAAACATCAAACCCTAAAATGTTTTCGTCGTGACCTTTAACTGCAAAGTGAGTAGACGACATATGCTTCTCACCAGGGAACCATAAATTAACTTTAGCAGTTTGGCAAACAGCGCTTCCTCTGTTTACTCCGGTAATTTTAACTCTTTGCTCTCCGGGTCGTATACCCAGCTTCTCAGCATCCTGGTGTGTTAATATTGAAATTTGTGCTTCTGTATCTATTAGAAAGGTTGTCAATTGTTGTCGAGGTTCAACTGGGATTAAAATATATGGGCCATTATTATTTATCCATTGATAGGATTCCATTTGCTGGACGGACAGACCCAGTTGTCATCCAGGCACTATTCATTTTTTGATCTCAAATTTTGGGGAAGAAAAGGGTTATTATCTCCTCTCCAGGAAGACCCCAGGAAGGACTTGGCTTGGGGCAACGGGTGGAGGTTGAGGCACGATGACGTGGTGACATGGACCTCTTTGAGGCACATCCCAACGGAGGACCACCACGCTGACCAGCCTGGAGGGCTGCGCCTATAAGCACCTTTTAGGCACCTAAAAGTTGCCAGGTTCCTTTTATGTTCGGTGGGGAAGGGCAGGGACTCACGTCCCCGAGGGACCTGATGCTCCTCATAATCCCATCTGGACGTGTTGCTGCTCCCCATCATCTATGAGCACCACTGGTGCCTCCAGAGAAGACCTAGAGCTTGACTGATCCTGAAACAAACCACCTCTTGCCATCTCTATCTTTGGTTAATAATTCAGTGCCTACCCAGAGTGTCTAACCACTGCATCCTATCCAGCTGAAAAAATACTGCTCCAAAACAGATATTGATATTTTTGCTGCTTTATTTATTTATTTATTTCTAATTTTCCACCCAGCTGGGGACAATGTCCTGTTGGATCTGCAGCAGCGGGGGAATTGCACGTGCTCCTGGAAAGCGTGATGCGTTCGATTTCTCTTCCACTTTAGTACAAATGGCTTTTCTTTAATGAGACTTCACCGCTCTATTACTACTTTAATTAATTTTAAAGTGGTAACTTTAATTAATTAACTGATTTTAATTCACTCTAAATTGCTGTGGATCCCAGTTTGGGTAAGTTTGGGATTTCTTTCTAAAACCTTAGTGCTGAAGAAGTTGTTTTATTATCTTCATGCCTCATCACTATGTTTTAAAATGCTAGCATGCATTCATTCTTAGCTTTTAAATATTGTTTAATTGCTATTAATTCTGACATGACAAGTTTGATTTGGAATTGTTGCATGTTAATATTTTTAATACTTGATGATCTTTATAGTTACAGGCTTTTCCTTAAAGTTTACCTTAAATGCCCTGGCTGCAGTTTAAAATCTTTCTTTGCCTTTTTTTTTTTTTTTTCTTTTTTCCCCAGTAGCATGGATGGGTTTTTTTAATAAGAAAACTTAAAAATATCTAAAACTTAATATATTCATTTTTGATTTTCTCTAGATCTTAACTAACCAAACACTGCTTAGAATGTTTTAATGCCTTTTAATATGATGATATATGTATTTCCAAAATACAGATGATGCCGTTTAACTAACAATTCATCCCCGCCAAGGTGTTTACAAACATATTTGCTATCTAATTTTTAATAATTATTTAGGCTAGTATACTTTTTGGAGTTAGGCAAGCCTACAGTTATTAATTATTACCTGCTGATTATAAAACACCAGACAGACTTCTTTCAGGTCTGTTCTGAAAAATGTAGATACCCGGTCAGATTGCAAAGAAAAAAAATTGGTAATACTTTGAGGTTTTGCCTGTAGTTTTTAGTTTTGCTTAACTTGTTTCTTAACTCGAAGCAAGGAAGGTGATGGGTAATTCCAAGGGTTAATTTAATTCCCCACTTCCACTGTTAACCTCCTACCCCTGGCGGGGTTAACATTCCTCTTTGAAGTGTTTAAACATTTCTTAATCCCCTTTTTTTCTCCTATTTGCTTGGAAAACAAAGCAGGATCCAAAGGGAAATTACAGGTTTAGTTAGTTGTCTTAAAAAAACAACTGTCCGATGCACTCAAAGCCAATATTTACTACTTCTCAAATACTCTGCCAGCACCCCATGCACTTATTTTTCAGTCTACTTTTATCAGCATATCATGTTACATAAAATTTTCAAAAGAGCAGGCCTTTTGCAAGAAAGCAGAATACTTGCTGCATTCCTAGGGGAACCTTTAGAAAATGCTTTTAATTTTGCAGATGACTGCATGGCCGCCTTATTTATGAGAAGCATTGGTTGCTTCTAATTAATGGCATTAAACATCCTTGTCCTTGGATCTACAGCAGACCATATAGCGCCTCAATGGAGGAAGAACTCTTCCTCTCCCTGTAATGCAATAATGAAGGTTTTTTAATGAAAAAGAAGAGCTGGCCCATCCCTTATTGCTGTAGCAGCATCTCTGCCTTTCCTGGAAGGACCTTTTTTTTTTTTTTTAATGAGCCATTTTAATAATCCGTTTTTTAATGGATTTGTTAAATTTACTGGGATTTACTGGGAAATTTACTGGGAAAGGATCTTCAGCTCAGGGAAATAAATAGTGTATTTGGAGGAAAGGGGAGAGGGTTAGGTGGGAATTCAAAGGGGCAAGGGAGAAAAGTGGGGTTGGAGTTCAGGGCAGAGGACACAGGACACCAGCTTCCACCCCACCGTGCTCCCAAAAGGACCTAAACTGGTGTGGTCCCTGCATCCCAGCCCACTCACCCCGTCCTCAGGAAAGGGATGCCCGCTGGACTGTGGATCTTGTTAATCATTGCTCCAGAATGGTGGCACAAGGGCAGAAAACTTTTCCCTCACCTTTTTATTCTCCCTCCAGCTCCTCGCACCTCCGAGGACCTGTACCTCCTGGAGCGGAGCAGAGCAAAGCTGGGTTTTGGGTACCAGACAGGGAAGTTCTACCTCCTGTCCCCCTGGCTGGCCAGAGATCCTGCAACAACGGCTGCTTGACACCCCTCCAAGCTGAGGGGGCAGGTAAACACGTGGGGCAGCAAGGGGAGGGAGATGGGAGGTTGGTCCATCAGCACGAATTTAGCCCTAGAGCTCCTTAAATGCCCTACGAGCCAGCAGCCCCCCAACCTGCTGCTGAGGTAGGGTCCCCTTGAGGAAGGACTGGAGAGTATCCGGGTGGGTTATCCCATAATACACATCCCATATCCCCAACATCCCCTGATGCTGGGGATATGGGATGACTGGGCTCCTGCTTGGGACCTGCTATGGGGGGCAGAGGTTTCTTGGCTTGGAGTCAGCATCCTTACCCCATTTCTCTCCCTCCCCATCATAGTTGCGCAGAGCTGTAGCACCTCATCTCCATCCTCATCCAGGCGTGATGCCGGTCCACTATGTGACATACAAAGGCATTAAGTTCCCCCATGCCTACAACTCCGAGCACAGCTTGAGTTTCACCCACAATGAGTTCCTGGTGCGGGATGATGATGTCTTCAATGTCACCTACCCCAAGTCTGGTACGAGGGGTGGATGGCTGGGCTGGCCAAGGGTGGAGAGGGGCAGGAGAGGGGTGAGGGCTTTGGAAACATCTCCAGGTGTTGTTCAGAGGGTGAATCTTTCCATGTGTTGGGCAATAGGAATGTTGGGGGGGGGGGTTACTGCAGTGGTTGTGCATTGGCAGGGCAGCACCATCTCTTGGCGGGGCACAGACTCAGTGCTGAGGGTGCTGCTGACCATGGAGCTGTGGCACAGTGAGGTCCTCCCATCCTGACTCCCCGGGCAAGGTCCCCTGCCCTGCATCTCTGCTTTTCCTGGCAGGCACTGTGTGGATGACCGAGATCCTGAGCCTCATTCACAGCCGTGGCTGCCCCAGCTGGAGCCGAACCGTCCTCAATTCTGACCGCATGCCCTGGTTCTCAACCCGTCTGGGTCTGGAGTCAGCCCTCAGCTACCCCCCACCCTGCCTACTGACCTGCCACCTCCCCAGACACATCTTCCCCAAGTCCTTCTCCCATTCCAGTGCCAAGGTGGGACGGGCACCCATGCAGAGCTTCAAGGGGGACAGGGGGGCTGGGAAGACCATCGCCCAGGGTCTGGGGAACCTTGGAGTGAGGGGTGTTGGGTGAGGACCTTGGTGTTGGCCTAGGAGAGTGGCAAGTGTCCTCCACGTGGGAATATGCAGATCCCCATCTCACATCCTTACCCTCTTGATATTTTGGAGAGCCTCCAATGGCTCTAGAGGACTTGTGCGTTCACGGAGACCCCTGCCCAAGGTCTGTGTGATGGAGTCTAGCACAGAGCTGGGCCTTGTGTGGCAGACCCCTCTGTTTTCAGATCTACCCCAGTGCCAGGGCCTGCAACTCTCCTTCCCCTACTGGGAGCGTATGACTCCTGTATGCACTCTGCCCCCCGTTATTTACACCCTACGGGATCCTCAAGATGTTGTTGTCTCCTACTACTACTTCTCCAAGATGTGTAACAGCTATGAGGATCCCACATCCTTCGAGCAGTTCCTGAGGGACTTTCTGAATGGAGAGCATGAGTGTGGTTTGGGGCTTACTCAGGGCATGGGGGTGGGTGGTGTCTCCCATCGCCTCTGGCTCAAGGGTCTTTTGCTGCTGTCCACTGATGATGGCCGTGAAGCCAAGCTTCCCACAGGAGAAGGTGAATGGCTCAGGAGGAAAGCAAAGCACTTCTGGAGGGACATGCAGGCCCACAAAGCCCTCTTGTACTTTGAAGCAGATGGAAATTGGATTTCCCTGCCTTCTCCTGCAGAGTTCAGATATCTTCAGGAAGTCTTGGCCAGGAAACCCTATAAAGCCCTGGCAAGACCTTACCCATGAGCCTTACACACCTCTAGCCTCAACCTCTTCCCACTGTGGAGGTGGCTGGAGAAGAACCCATTGCTCAGCTGCAATTGCAGTTGAACCTCCCAGTCCCACCTGCTGCCTGGACACTGTTGCTCTGTCCTGCATTGTGGCTGCCTTGCTCCCAAACTTGTGTGAACCCTCCTCAGCCTTGCACATCCCCTGCCCTGCCCTGCCCTGCCCTGCCCTGCCCTGCCCTGCCCTACTGCCTTTTGCCTCCCATCAGTGCCCCATGGCTCCTGGTTCGAACATGTCCGAGGCTGGATGGAGATGAAGGACGCAGAGAATTTCTTCTTTATCACCTATGAAGAGCTGAAGCAGGTAGACACCTAGGCAGACCCTCCAGCTCCAAACATGCTGGTGTGTCACAAGCCACTTGGTGGTAACAGGCTCCATCTGTCCCTCCAGGACCTGCACAGCAGCGTGAGACGTCTCTGCCGGTTCCTGGGGCAGGATTTAGACGATGATGCCATCTCCTCAGTGGTGCAAAATGCCTCCTTCATGGCCATGCAGGAGAACCCAATGTGCAGCTCCATCCTGCTCCCTGCAGACATCATGGACCAGACAAAGGGCCGGTTCCTGAGGAAGGGTGAGCAAGAGGGACCCAATCACAACACCTCAGGGAGACCCCCGCCATCAGGTGTCCTCCCCCATGAGGACAGCCAGAGCAAGGGTGTCTTGGAGAGCTGCATCACGGTGCATTTGGGTCTGAAGAACAGGGTCCATAGAATCATGGAATCGTTTGGTTTGGAAGGGACCTTTAAAGGTCACCTAGTCCAACCTCCACTGCAATGAGCAGGGACATCTTCAACTAGATCAGGTTGCTCAAAGCCCCATCCAACCTGACCTTGAATGTTTGCAGGGATGGGGCTGGTCTCTCATTTTGGACAGCCCCCTTGGGGTGGTAGCTGGGCCCAAGAGCTGAGCCTCTTTGTGCCTACAGAGCAGAGAGGGGGGCTGCGTGCTGGGGGGGGCTCTGAGCCCCAAACGTTTCTTCCTCAGGCATCTGCGGGGACTGGAAGAACCACTTCACAGTGGCACAGAGCGAGACCTTTGACAGGATCTACCAGGACAGGATGCAGGGCCTGAAGATGACCTTTCCTTGGGACAGGCATTAGGATTTGTGCCTATCTGAAGCCAGCTAAGCACTGGGTATAAACCAGCCACCGACAACTGGGGTAACTGGCTGCTGTTGGACAGAGGGGGTTGTACCCAGGGCTGCAAAAGGTACTGAACCTCAGTGTGCAAGCAATTAATTTCATAGAATCATAGAATCATAGAATCATTTAGGTTGGAAAAGACCTTTAAGATCATCGAGTCCAACCATAAACATAACACTGTTACATCCGCCACTAAACCATGTCCCTAAGCACCACATCCACCCATCTTTTAAATACCTCCAGGGATGGGGAGTCCACCACTTCCCTGGGCAGCCTGTGCCAGTGCTTGATAACCCTTTCGCTGAAGAAATTTTTCCTGATATCCAATCTAAATCTCCCCTGGCACAACCTGAGGCTGTTTCCTCTTGTCCTATCGCTTGGTACTTGGGAAAAGAGACCGACCCTCACCTGGCTACAGCCTCCTTTTAGGTGGCTGTAGAGAGCAAGAAGGTCTCCCCTCAGCCTCCTCTTCTCCAGGCAAACCACCCCAGCTCCCTCAGCTGCTCCTCATAAGACTTGTGCTCCAGACCCTTCACCAGCTTCGTTGCTCTTCTTTCTTTGGACACGCTCCAGCACTTTCTGTTGCAGTTTTGCACCCTTTCCCCTTGGATGGGCGCTTTCTCCTGGGTTGTGCCTCTCCTCTCTGTCCCTCGACCCTTTTTCCCCTGAGGCAGTCTCTAAGTCTCCCAGGGTAGGACCCACCTCCCTGCCCTCCAACACATTCCTCTTCGGCAGGCCGAGGAGAGTAGCACATGCCTGAGAGCACACAGATGAAACACATCCTGCCTGTCACATCCACTGGCCAGAGCACCTGGTTTGGGAGCTGCAACTCCCCGAAATGTTCTCTTGGGGCTGCTCATCAAACAGGAGAACAGCAGGGAAAACAGGAAGGGCTGCTTGAATGCAGAGGTGTTTCGGGTGTGTTGCCGGTGTTAACACAAATGGTGAGATAAGTAATATTAATAATAAAATCTGAGCAAAAGCAAGGCTGGCTGGCTGCCAGACCCTGGGGACCTGGAATTCCAGTCTGTTCCTTGCATGGGATGGGTTGAACAGCAGGATGGCAAAATATCCCCTCCACTTTCCAAGCCAAGAGTGAGAACTCTTCAAATACACAGGACATGTCCAAGGCGGACATGCACGGTCAGCTCTAGGGCCAGGGTGCTGTACAAGAGTTTAGGAAAGGGTGTGCAGACAAGACAGCGTGCCATTGCACCTCCCTTGGCCCAGCCTGATAGAGCCTAAACCAGGTGATGGGTTTCAATGAAGCAAGGCTGGTTGTGCACGGCGCGGTGGGATTTAGAAGCACAGCCTTGTCCTTGTGCTGAAAGAGGCGTAGCGCAGGATGGGTTCTCCCTAGGGACCACAGCCAGAAGCATCCCAGATAATCAGACCTCTACAAGATTTAGACAATTGTCCCCACAGAGTGGTTTTGGGGAATCAAAGAAGGGGAAGGGCCTTTGTGGACCTTGGCCAAGAGATGGCTCTGTGGTTTGTGTACCCCCGAGCCTCCAGAGACCCTGCAGGGAAGCCCAGCTCCTGGCAGTGGTGCAGCTGCCAAAGTACTGCTTGTAATGAATGACAGCTTAACTGCCTGACAGAGGCAACCAGAGCCACCAGGGGATGGCTCCAGGCTTGGCAAGACGCTGTCCAGAGAGGGAAAGTTGTCCCAGAGACAGAGAGCAGTGCCATGGTTGGCACGTCCCTATTGAAGTCTTGAGCAATGTCACAGCCAGAAGATGACCTGACTAAAAGGCACCCTTCTAGCCCTGTTGGCAGTGAAGACTAGGCCACCTTTATTGCACACCTGCTCATGGCCACCACATTCTACCCAATGACCACTGGGTCAGGAGTTGAGAAATAATGAGAAAGAGAGAAAAAAAATGTGACATGGCATTGGAAGGTACTCCCCAAAACCACAGTCAAAATTGTTTCCTCTTATATAAAATAATGGGGTTAAATGACCCCATTCATGTGTTGTGCTCCAGATGTCTGAGTGCCTTATTGAAATGTTTGCCTTCGAGCTATATGTGGCTGATTCTACACCCAGCATGACATTTCTCTCCCCCATATCCTGCTAAAATTTGAGGTTTGGGTTAATGTCTCAGCAAGGCTTTGTAAGAACATATACCGTGGAGCCTTGGTGCAACAGCCCACCCCAAACCATAGTATGGGGAGGGGAAAAAGCCAAGGTTAAAAGAGAGTGGGATGTGGGAATGGACATGGAGAGCTGTCATGTCCCCAAGGACCCTGGCACAGGACTTTCTGACAAAGGGCTGGGCCCTGTTCAATGTCTGCAGAGGCCAAAATACTACTTTGAACTATGTGTATTGATTAAATCATGAGTAATTATAAAAGGAACCCTGAATGTTTACTAATCAAATGTAGGCACTGACACAAACACACAGGAAAGTGCTCATTTGTCTAAATACAGACAGTCATCCACTACAGAAAATTGCTAGTCTCCCTTGTGCCGTATTTATAACCTGATGAAGATGTCTTAGATACTACGTGGTGACTCCAGCATCACTCAGTGCACATATCCCACCCATCTTGCCTTTAGAGACATTAGGGTATCAGATAGAGGCCAGTGGGATGTGCTATGGTGTGTGCAAAGGCTTTCTGTCAAAGACGAGACCACTAAAGGGCTTTGCTGGCTTTGGGAAACAATGTGCCTTGTATGTTCAGAGTTACTCAAACTCCTAAGGAGAAGAGCCCAAAGAAAATACAGCAAGTGCAGCTGTTCTAGCAAAAAAGAGTTCAGTTCACGATTACCCTTTCTCCTACTAACTCGCTCTTAAATGCAGAGCCCTCATTAAGCCACAGAAATGAATCGCTGTGCTCAGGGAACGTGTTTTTATGGCCTCCAGAGGGAGAATGCAAACGGAGCATGCTTCAGTTCTCTTCGGATGCATCTCCTCAGATACGTGAAGAGCATCCTTCCCATCTCGACATGCTTACACCTTCTCACCTCAGATCAACCAGCTGCAGTTGTAAATTTAACCTTGCCACACGGCACAGACATGAGGTCCCAGACAAGATATCTCTTCGTTAAGTAATTTCTTGCCAGTTCCCTCGGTGTTTACATCACATGCGTGCTAATCCTATCCCACCCTCTCTTCTAGACCAAACCACAGCTTTTCCGCAGGGAAAGCCACAGCCCAGCTGAGAGACAGTTCACACCAGAGCCCACCCCAGACAAACTGTGTAGAGATGTAGCAGACTACTTTTGCCTCTCTCAGCTCTGGCTCTGTTGTAGCCAGCTCTGCCCTCCCCATGCAGACACTTCCCTGCCATTCAACAGTGTACCCAACAGATGTCATCTTCATCCTATAGAAAACAACTCTCTGACAGGCTTAAAAAAAAAATAATTCCTACTACCTCGAACATTTTGAGCTGAAAAACAATGCAAATATATCCTCATGCATGGGACAAAGAGCCCATCCAAACCAAGCACTGTGAAGAATGAGCATAGCTAGTCTGCTTTGCGTGGTGCTAACCCTCAGCAGTGTGAATGTGAGCTGGTTCATGCCTTGGCTACATGGAGTAGTCCACAGAGCCATGTTCAACACAGCAGGTCTGATGATGAGAGGATAAATGGTTGAGTTTTCACCCTAAGAATGCCAGTGATATTAAAGCTTGATGAACACAGCAGGTCTGATGGTGAAACTCAACAAATGGTTGAGTTTTTACCCTAAGAATGCCAGTGATATTAAAGCTTGGTCCTGGCATGCCTGAGAAAGTGATGATGTTATTAAAAGACAGCATAGACACTGCTTCAACTTGGAAGAGATCGAGTGCCTGGCTAAATAAATAGCAGGTCTTTGCTGCTCCATGTTGAGAACTGACTAACAGCTATGATGGTAAAGCAGCCGAAGTCACTGCCTTCCCTGGGGTGCCCAGCGTATGGCTGAAGGAAAATCAGGAAATTCAGGTTATCTTCACAGTGTCCTGAGCAGAGGTATCACGGCTGGGCAGGACTGTGTTTTCAACAGGTCAGCAGGGAAAAAAGAGGAATTTCTTTTTGGATTTTTGGTTACTCCAAGTAAAGGATGCTGGGAAACTCCAGAAAGTGTCAGGAAAGCCACAGTGGATGTCAAGAGCTGTCATATAGTACAAGGGGTACCACTCCATGCAAGGACCCTCATGCACAGTCAGTTGCTCCAAGCCTCCCTACGTGGTCAAAATTACACTTTGATCCACTTGGATCTTAAGAGAAGGAATGAATAAATGAATGAACAAGAGAGAGAGGAAGAAAGAGAGGAGGAGAAGTATAAAGGATGAAAGGAAGGGAAGGTGGAAGGAAGAGAGGAAGGAAGAGGGAACAAGGGAGGGAAGAAGCTGGGGGGAAGGAAAGAACTCTGGTGAATTTTAGAAGATTCAGTCTAAATTCAGTTCCTGGAAGAACATTGAGCACAAAGCCAATATTTCTATTTGTAGCCACCTAGAAGATAACGAATACAGGTTTGTTGGGATTAACTATCAAGTAATCGACTGTACAAATACAAACCAGGAATTACTGGCCAGACTCCCCACAAGCGGGAAGAACCCAAGGATCAGTATCAAAGCACAACAGGCTGTGGCTCAACAACCTGTGGGTATTGCGAAAAAAGCAAACCTCACCTGAGATGTCTGGAACAGGGGGTCCTCCCATGTACGAGATGTCTGTGTGACCGTTGTCTTTTCCCAGGAGTGCTGAGGGCTCTGCTGCACATCAGCGGCTGGGTGTGTGCCTCAGCTTTCAAGAAGGGTGTTGGCCAACTGTTGGCCTGCTGGAGAGTGGCCAGAAGGGAGGCAGTAACAGCTATCTAAGCATAGAAAACAGGACAGAGATGGAGAGACTGAAAATGTCCTCAGTGAGCAAAACTGAAGACTAGCAAACAGATGAGAACAGTCTTCAAATGCTAAGATACAGAGCTCATCTATATTCTCTCCTACAAAGAAAGGCTGAGAGAGTT